AGCCACTTACACAGCAGCTTTCATCTGTTAACAAAAAAGTCACTTTTAAAAGGTTAATAAGAACATACAGATGAGAAAGTGCATGCATATATCAGATGCCCACTTGCTTTTCAATGAGATCATCTTGTTTAAAAACAGTTACAGAAAAGCCTTGCTTTGCAGACACAAAATCTAGAACTGCATATGGTAAGAGAAAACTACCGATTTCCTAAAGATTATCAATTGTTTTGGTCGTTAATATTTAAAAAATTATGGTTTGTGGAAAATTAAAAAAAAAAAATCTCTCTTTTATTTGCATGAAGAAATAGGAACCTTCATAAAAACCTATCCTTCTTCGCTTAGAATGCCAAATTCAACTAGGAAATACTCCAAATTCACACTGGATGCCAACTATAGTATTGGAATTTTGATTCTCTGACTGGTCTTCACTACTGGGTTCTCAAAAGGAGATAAATCCTTTCTCGAGTTATCTAGTGGATACAAAAAGAGAAAGCTTCTGGAATACAATATGCAGCCTAAGAAGGAAAGATACAACACAGGAGCAGGAATAAAGGAGGAGAGACTTAAAGCAGTATCCTGGAAAGAGCAATAGGTAGAATATTCTTCCTAGGGAACAGGGGATTTGTGTGAAAGTAGAGTACAGGACTGCATCATTTGTTGCAAACAAGGACTCTGAAAAATTTGTGGTAATTAATATAGAGCAGAAAGCCTGCCCAAGAAGGCTTTCCTACAAATCACATTTTTAAAGCTTTTGTGTTTTGGGGATGCTTACTTTAAATAGAATACAGGGATCTATTTCTGTTTCCATATGGGAAGTTTCATTTTGAAGTAGCATCTCAGAAATTTACCATCAATTATTATTACATATTGTAACACACAACCAAGAGCTCCCTAAGTTATGGTGCAGAATTTGGAAATATTAGAGTGTCGTGGTTTAAGCCCAGCCGGCAACTTGGAACCACACAGCCGCTCGCTCACTCCCCCACCTTTTCCTTCCTCCCCCCGCTCCCGGAGGGATGGGGAGGAGAATCAAAGGAATGTAACTCCCACGAGTTGAGATAACAGCTCTCCAGTAACTAAGGTATAATACAAACCACTACTGCTACCAATAATAATGATAAGAGGAATAACAAGGCAAAAGGACACAACCGCTCACCACCCGCCGACCGATACCCAGCCCGACCCGAGCAGCGATCTGGGCCTTCCGGGTAACTCCCCCCAGTTTCTATACTGGGCATGACGTGCTGTGGTATGGAATACCCCTTTGGCCAGTTTGGGTCAGGTGTCCTGTCTCTGCTTCCTCCTGGCTTCCCCTCCTCTCTGGCAAAGCATGAGACTGAGAAAGTCCTTGGTCAGAGTAAACATTACTGAGCAACAACTAAAAACATCGGTGTTATCAGCATTGTTCCCAGACTGAAAGTCAAAACCACAGCACTGCACCAGCTACTAAGAAGGAGAAAAAATGACTGCTGTAGCTGAACCCAGGACATAAGAGATGAGGTTTTCCTCCTAAATAATGTAATTATGGAAACTTGTCCCTGCGCATGGCAGGGGGGTTGGAACTAGATGATCTTAAGGTCCTTTCCAACCCTAACTATTCTATGATTCTATGATTCTAAGTTAATTCAGCCAGACAAGGAAAGCCATTGCCTTTCATACAAAGGTCTGAAACAACACCTTCCTTGACTTTCATGGTACAGTGCTAGATTGTAGATCTCAACTAACATACATAAAATCCAAGTATGCACAAGTCCAATTAAGAGCTTCAAGAAGTTTTAATCCCAGCTCACTTTTCAGAAGAAAAAACCACCAAATCTTAAAATATAATATAATGTATTTGTCTATGTGACTGGCTTTCATCTTTTTAGGTGTTCCTTCTTAACTGAAAAGCAGATACACAGGGGAAAAAAAGTAATATAACTTTATATTAGAATTGAAAAATATACAGTTATGTCTTTCAGTTCTTCTCCAAAGAAAAAAATGACAGTATTGAGGGTTTTTTGCTCCAGAAACTTTGCTGCAGTATCAAATAAAACCTGTTTAGAATTGCACAGAAGTCCCCAAACATACGATCTTGCATTTTAACCTTTCTACAACAAAACCACTGATGTAACAGCTCTCTACTTGTATACAAAGACCGTCAAATCTGTCAGAAACAAGCTAACTCACCTGATACACTATTATCACTTAAAAAGCCCCAAAGCACTGGAATATGAACACAGACATAACAGTCTACTATATATAACAGAATAGTTTCTGTTCCACCACACTGACTTAAAATAGCATACTAGATAATTGAAAGAAAGTGCTATGAGTTTTAATCACCTCAAGTATATACACATGATCTTACTAGCCCCTTGTTACTGCTCACTGTGGACAAAATAGCTGTTGAACATCTTTATAATGACAAGTGTTTCAATAGTCTCTGCTTACTACAGGAATATAAAAGAGCTTATTTATTACCTCATTGGTTAATTCAACTGCTCATACCTTAGCAACAGCTGTTATCTGCTCCAGTGCCATGGTGTGAAGATCTTGATCTTTGCTTTCTACCAGCAGTTTCAGGGATGGCAGCAGGAGGGAATGGTTAAGTAGCAGCAAACACACTTCTTTTATACACTGAAAATAAAAGTAAACTCATTCAGTGAGATCTCTGGAGATACTAACATCATCATTCACACTAAAATTTATGAAAATTCCATGCCAAATGCAAAATGGAAATCAAACTTCCACCACAAATGAAATCCTTGTTGGAAATAACTCTTCAAAAACTTGAAAGGGCAAATTTAAAAAAATGTGGAATACAGGATTATAAGCACAGTGTTTATTATATTAAGACAAGGCAGGTACTGAATCACCATTACAACCTGGTGTTTTGCTGAAAGAACAACAGAACAATCGAAGCTCTCTGTGGGACTAATATATTTGTGCTTGCTGAAATATGGCAAAGCACAGGAAGGAACTTAACAGACACCTATGACATTTCTGTAACTCAATTATGCAATCATGAAAGTGGAACAAAATAAAGAGGAAGTAACAGTACATACAAGAGTTCAGCATCATAAAGTTCTGTTGCAACAGTATTTATTAATTTATATCTCAAAAAGTATTTCAACTAACAAATTATGTTGGAAGTCAAATTGTAACTCACTTTTTCCTTTTTGTCATTTCCAAGAATTTGGGTCATTTGTCACAACCACTTCCCATTGAGACCCATCAGAGATGTTCCATATTCCAGGACAACTTACACTGCGTGCCCTGGATATTGTAAGGTAGTAACTTTGAAAATGATATCCAATTCTTAGAGGTGCTCTCTGTTTCACTCCAACATTTAGAGAGCAATTGTTGAAGGACCTCAACAGCTAAATATAAGCTGAGAGAATTCAAGTCATATATTTTTCTACATCTTTTTCAGTCTAATGACAAACTGCAACAATCTGCTAATCAAGATGCAAACACACTTTTTACAGCACAGGTTTAGTACCCATGAACCTAAAAGCCTAAAAATTATTTGAAGAGGAGATGTTAAATGCTCCAACTGTAACATGCTGCAGAGACACCTGGACTTGCTTGGCTTTGCACGTTGCTCAGTCTTTTCTAAATTTATACCTTCAAGAAAGACTACCTAGAAGGATATATTCTGCCACCCTGAGCTCTGAGTCACTGAGGCAAGGCTTCTTCTTACCCAGACTTGTTCCTTTAAACTTTTATACTGTACTGCTACAGATTGTTGATGATTTCAGTGAAGGATATGATACAGTATCAAGGAATAAGAAGATAAAATAAATGCATTAAGGTTTGTCTGATCAGTCATATCCTATTCTGATAATTTCATATTCCATTGTATTTCTTTTCAGCAGTATAGCTGCATTCCAGCAAATGAATGCAAAGCTAGAGATTCCCTCTACATGCCTCCTTTTCTTGAAAATATGTATCCACACCAATAAATGCAACTTATGTTCAGGAAAATAAATTCTAAGAGGCATAAGATACATAACCTGAACAAAACCAGCAATTTTACTACACTTGGTAACTTTTTCTGTCTGAAAGCCAGAAAAAAAACTAACTGGAGGAGCAGTGCCATAAAAAATAAGCCATAATTATTAGAAGGCTCTCTAAAAGAACCCCAAATCATGTTTTGGGGTTGTAGAAGGAAGAAAAGGAAAGAAAGTAAATTGTAAAATGTAACTAGGTAGCATACATTTTTAAAGCAACAGGGCAGG